ACTTGAAGATCGATACAAAGAGACTAAGTGGGGCTGTGTATCTGTCCTTGAAACTTTCCACAAATCCTTCCATTCTTTCACCCGTACCCTAGAACATTGTGTTAGCATAACGGGACCAAAAATTGCAGAGCTTGGTTCACACTAGTGCGAAAATAGTGTTACAACTCACCATGTGAAACAAAAGTGAATGAATATTAAACAACATATAAGCCTCAAAAGAGCCCTGGTTAAGCCACAAACCGGTTTATCCGCCCCCAGAATCGAGAGTTGAGTGTACCAGCGTCAGAACTGCTTAATAGATTTTCATAAGATTTCTTAATGGTGAGATTTGTTAAAGCCTGTTTACATATTCACAGTTTTTTTTATTTTGACAAAAGTAAGGGACACTTTTGTGTGAAGAACTGCTTGTCAAGCATAACTCGTTAAAAATCTTTGGAGCAGAGATGTTTTCAGCAAAAGTTAAAAAGAATGTGAAGCTCAAATCTTATGTTCAGTACATTTTTCTGTAAGTCTTAACGCATTTTGACACAATAGCAGGAAACAGATTGAATGTTCAAAACTGTTACACTATGCATATGTTTCTGAGTTTATGCTGACTTCTGAACACACACAGTACTAAATGTAGGATTTGAGGTTCTCACAGCTGTGGTTAAGAGTTCCGTCTTCTGGGATATATTGAAAAGTAGTCTGTTGAAAGTCAACCAACATTTCAGAGGAATGTGTCACCTCCATCTTGTGTTATACTTATACCTGAAGTTGGAGGTGACATGTTCCCCTGAAATGTTGGTTGACTTTCAGCAGATTTCATGACATACAGAGATATTCGGTTTTCCGACTTTATCCATGTTCCTGGTTTTTAAGATAACTAAGAAAAACACGTATCAAAAACTGGATTTGTTTCCGTCCTCAGGTGAGGGAAAACAACTAAATGACCAATGGCACAAAGCACAAAGGTTATAAATACCTGAGACCAGGCTAAGTCCATGAGAGCTAATAAGAAAAATATACATAACAAATTGTTCCAAACACGTACAAGCGTGGAACCAGGATACATAGAGCCATAGAAATTTATGTCACGAAACCAAACTAATAACCAGGTCCATATACGAGTATAATATAATATTAAGACCATCTTCCATACGAAACACACTCTTGGGAACTCTCTTATGAAAACCAGACTGAAAAGAGATCCCCAACAGACGGCACAGTGTGTCTATAGCATTCCCTATGAATGTGGCAGAATTTGGTGAAACAGCAGACCTCTGCCCGTGCGGCTCTGGGAACATAGGCATAACCTCAAAGAAGGTCTTCCAGAAAAATCTAAACTAGCTCAACATGCCTATGAAGAGGGACATATGTTAGGCTGGGATGAAGCTAAGATTTTGGATATTGAAAGCCACATCAGGTATAGGAAATTCAAGGAAGCGGCCCATATGGCATGCTCTGCCAACCAGATTAGCCAACCCAGTTTGGACTATTCTCCCATTTGTATCCCCATTATCAGCAATGAAGTCACCAATTCACATAGAAGATCTGTATGACGTGATATTTGTTTTTTTTAATTGATTTCTATTAGGTTCTAAGTGATTTACTCCATTGTTGCGCTAGTTAGACACTATTGATTTTTTTACTAGTTCTCCTTTCTATTCCATGCCGTGGGGTCATGGACCTGGTTATTAGTTTGGTTTTGAGACATAAATTTCTATGGCTCTATCTATCCTGGTTCCACGCTTGTACGCGTTTGGAACAATTTGTAATGTATATTTTTCTTATTAGCTCTCATGGACTTAGCCTGGTCTCAGGTATTTATAACCTTTGTGCTTTGTGCTGTCAGTTGTCCAGTGATTGAGGCTATCTCTTTCTAAGGGACCCAACAGAGTAGGTGTTTTCCTTCATCTGAGGACGGAAACAGATCCAGTTTTTTCCGGACCGTGTTTTTCTTAGTTATCTTAATAACCAGAATGCTAGATGAATTCGAAAAACTCAGTATCTCTGAATGGTCAGAATTCTGTGGTAAGTGCTTGCATGGCATTGTATTAATCAGTTGGTCTTTGTAGTGGAGGCAAATCATCTTTTCTTTGAGGCAAGAATTTAATTTTTAATATGTTTGATTTAAATTTGTGCTTCATAGGGTTTATTAAAATATAATTCAATATGAATTTCATGTTGAAATTTATACTTTCCTTTGTGATGATAAACAGAAGAGTGCAGTTACACCAGAATTATGCTATGCATACATTTCTTAATTTTTTTCCTTTTAAAGTAAGGAGAATATTCCAAAGGTTATTATGCACTGTGCAACTGTTTGATTTAACTGTAGCAAACTTTTTGTATGTAGGAGGCTCTTCAGTTGGAGTAGGTGGAAACGAAGGTGGGATGGCACAACAAGCCACCCCTCCAGCACCTTCCCCAGCTCAGCCACAGTCTGGTGCACCAAGTGGTGGTCAACCTGGCCCCCAGGCAGCAACTCAAGGGGGAACCCCAGGAGGAGCACAAGGCGGGGCTCCGACAACTGCGACGTCAACTGCGGACCCTGAGAAGAGGAAGTTAATCCAGCAGCAACTGGTGCTACTTCTGCATGCACATAAGTGTCAGCGCAGGGAAAGTCAGTCCAATGGGGAGGTATGGCAGGTGTGTATGCTTTGTAGGGGATGTATATATATGTCTCTTTTTAGCATATATTTTGAGAGAAAGAAATGTGTTTGCTGTTTTGTGGGTCTTGCGAGGTCATCAAACTGTGCAAAAGTCTGTATTCACATAGAACTTGGACTCTAGAGGGGATGATATCCTAATTTAAATTTGAATGTCTGCAAGTTATTACTAAATCATTCAGCATAAATTTGAACTCACTTTCTGTGGACTGGTATGTTAGGTGCATTTCCATTTCACTTTGATCTGAAGTTATAAAATCCTTTCCAGTTTTCTTCAAAATTACATGTACATCCATAAAGGACCACTTATAAGAAATGAATAAAAGTAACTGGTTGATTGTCGATTTCTTATGTAGTAGAACTTAAGTACATGGCACAGCAGTAATTAACAGAAATCACTGATTGCTAAGGTGAAGTTGGATTAAATCACATTATTGCTTATTACTGTTCAGTTCATGCCTTCTGCTTTCTAGAATGCTGGTATGGGTGTGTAACTTTATGTATTATTGTGAGAAGAATACATAAGTTGAAGTATTTGAGAATGATTCTAAGAAAAGCGGGCAACCGTCTTCCGGAATGTGATGTCATATAATCTGAGAGATTAGTACATAAATTTCAGAGGAACCACTGTATACACCACTTCCATCTTCAGTGCAACTCTGTTTACAACTACTCTTAATTTAAAATATTAAATTAAGGAGTAATTGTAAACAGAGTTGCATTGAAGGTGGAAGTGAATGTGTAGAGTGATACATCAGCGCAAGAGGATGCTGAAATACAGTATTTTGTGCAGCCTTCAGAGAAATAAGCTGAATGTGCAGTAAAAGTGGTACTGATAACAGGAATGAGGGAGGCTTGCTACTGTTAGTTCCTCGGAACTCTAGCCATAGTAGAGGGGTGATACCATCTCGCGCGGAACTGGGGGAGCAGTCTTATCAGCTTACATAAGTGTGGGTACTACAAGTTTGGATCACCCTGGGGACCGGGGTTTTTAAGCCTAGCACCCTAACTTGTGCACTGTTCACTTTAAAAATTAATATAAAATTTCCTAATTAATTTTATGAACTAAAATTTTTGGAGAACACATACCAGAGCTCCTAGAAGTGCTTGCGCATGTGATTTCTCTGGAAACATTCCCCTTTGTGAAGAAGCATCACACAGAAGTTGCAGATGTACGCAGTCCTCTTCTTTAGGGTGTGACAGGAAATGAGCGTGATCATGTTACTAGCTAAGCTAGCAAACATTCCCAAGGTCAGCTACGCAGTAGTTATGATGCTACGTGGCCACACAGCAAGATATAGTCGGTTGCAACATAACGCGTCAGAAAAGGGCCAATTGGCCCCTCCAGTCCTCAGTGTGTTAATGTCATTTGGTGCTGTACCTTAAATTTGTACTGCCTTCGTATTATACGGAGTTTAACAGTACCTTCTATTCTTATTTCAGTGTACACTACCACATTGTAAAACAATGAAAAATGTTTTAAACCACATGACAACGTGCCAAGCAGGGAAGTCCTGTTCAGTTCCACACTGTTCCTCATCTCGACAGATCATCTCACACTGGAAACATTGCACACGGACTGACTGCCCTGTATGTCTGCCACTGAAGCAGGCTGACAAGAACCGCAACAACCCCAGTGGTAAGCATATTGGTTTGAGTTTGTGCTTTTTCTTTTCCTCCCCCCCCCCCC